GCCCCAAAAGTGGGGGGGAACCACACAAACTGGAGAGCAAACACCCCCAAAATGGGGAGGAAGGCCCACCAAAACTGGAGGAAGACCCACCAAGATTGGAGGAAAAACCCAACAGAATGGGAGAAAAGGCCCCAGAAGTGGGGGGAAACCACACAAATTAGGGGGAAAACACCCCCAACATGGGGGGAAAACACCCCCAACATGGGGGGAAAGACCCACCAAAACTGGAGGAAGGCCCACCAAAACTGGAGGAAAAAAACCCCAAAAAACAGAATGGGAGAAAGTGCCCAAAAAGTGGGGGAAACCAGGCAAATCGGGGAGAAAACACCCCAAAAATGGGGAGGGAAGCACCCGGAACAAGAGGAAAGCACCCAAGAAATGAGAAGAAACTATCCCCAAATTGGAGAAACGAGGAAAAAGAACCCAAAATGGGAGAAATGACCCCAAAAGTGGGGGAAAGCCATGCAAATTGGGGAGAAAACACCCCCAAAAAATGAAGGAAAACCACCCAAAATGGGGGAAAACAAACCAAACCGGAAGGAAACCACCCCAAAAATGGGGAGAAACCACTCAAAAAATGGGGAGAAACCACCCAAAATGAGGAACTCCCCCTCCCAAAATGGGAGAAGAACCCCCGAAATGGGGAGAAACCATCCAAAAAATTGGGGGGGAACGACCACAAATTGGGAGAAACCAACCCAAAAATGGGGGGAAACCACCCAAAAATGGGGGGAAACGACCACAAATTGGGAGAAACTAACCCAAAAGTGGGGGGAAACCACTCCAAAATGGGAGAAGAACCCATCCAAAAAAAGGGGGAAAACATCCGAAAATGGGAGAAACCACACCAAAATGGAAGAAACCACCCAAAATGAGGAAAAAAAACCCTAAAATGGGCAAAACCCACCCAAGAAATGGGGTGAAACCTTTCCAAAAGTGGGGCCCAGCTGGAATTTTGGGGGTGTCCCCACCTTCTGGAGGGTGGCGGCCGCTCCCCCGATGAGCAGCAGCGGGGACTCGGCCATCTGGGCGTTCTTGATGGCCGTCACCGCGTTGGTGACACCGGGGCCAGCGGTGACCGCGGCGACTCCGATGCGACCTGGGGGCGTGAGGACAAAAATGGGGACAAAACCCACCATGGAAGGACCTTAGAGACCCCCCCAAAGTCTATGAACCCTTCTCAGGTCAACCAGGACCCCTCCAAGTTGGGACAACCCAAGAGCCTCCATCCATTGGGGCAGAAGAAGGTGGTGTTCTTCATGTTCCCACCAGAGCCACCAATTTGGAGGACAAAAATGGGGACAAAACCCACCATGGAAGGACCCTGGAGACCCCCCAAAGTCTTTGAACCCTTCTCAGGTCAACCAGGACCCCACCAAGTTGGGACAATCCAAGACCCTCCATCCATTGCGACAGAAGGTGTTGACCATGAGGTCACCTCCTCCTGGCCCTACTGGAGCTACCAAATTATCTTCTGGGGGGACAAACGGGGACAAAACCCTCCATGGAAAGACCCTGGACACCTCCAACGTCTTTGAACCCTTCTCAGGTCAACCAGGACCCTACCAAGTTGGCACAACCCACGGCCCTCCATCCATTGGGGCAGGAGAAGGTGGTGACCATGGGGTCGTCTCCTCATGTTTCCACCAGAGTCAGCAATTCGGAGGGGATAAATGGGGACAAAACCCACCATGGAAGGACCTTGGAGACCCCCCAAAGTCTTGGAACCCTTCTCAGGTCAACCAGGAACCCTCCAAGTTGGGACAACCCAAGACCCTCCATCCATTGGGGCAGGAGAAGGTGGTGTTCCTCATGTCCCCACCAGAGCCCAAAGTCTTGGAACCCTTCTCAGGTCAACCAGAAACCCTCCAAGTTGGGACAACCCAAGGCCCTCCATCCATTGGGGCAGGAGAAGGTGGTGACCATGGGGTCACCTCCTCCTGGCCCTACTGGAGCTACCAAATTGGAGGACAAAAATGGGGACAAAACCCACCATGGAAGGACCTTGGAGACCCACAAAGTCTTTGAACCCTTCTCAGGTCAACCAGGACCCCACCAAGTTGGGACAACCCAAGGCCCTCCATCTGTTGGGGCAGGAGAAGGTGGTGACCATGACCATGACCACATCCTCACCTGAGAGCCTGGAGATGGCATCGGCGGCGAAGACAGCAGTGGCCTCGTGCCGGGTGTCCACCACCCGGATTCCCACCTTCTCGCTGGCCACCAAGACGGGGGAGATGTGGCCACCAGCCAAGGTGAAGAGGAACCGGACGCCGTGGGCCTTCAACACCTCGGCCACCAACTCCCCACCATGACGGGGACTTTGGGGCTCCACCTGAGAGGTGACAAGTTCACCGGGAGGACCTTGAGTGGTGCCACCACCCCTTTGCCTTCAAAAATAGGCATTTTGGGGACAAAAAACCTGCCATTTTTTCACCTCTTTCCTCCTACCTTATGGAAGAGTTGGTAGAGGAGCCCCAAGCGATGGGCCACCACCACCAGTGACACCAGTAAGAGCCCGGCACTGGTGCAGCCGAGGCCGAGGAGGAGATCCATGGGGGTGTCCGGAGCTGGAAAACGGGCACCGGGATGGAGGACCCCCCCAAAAAACCCCAAACCCCCCAGTTTCACTGAATCTGGTTTAATTGGACCTGGCTTAATTGGACCCGGTTTAACTGGTCCCAGTTTCACTGAATCTGGTTTAATTGGACCCAGTTTAATTAGACACGGCTTAATTGGACCCAGTTTCACTGAATCTGGTGTAACTGGACCCGGGTTAATCAAACCCAATTAATTTAACCCAGTTTAATTGGACCCAGTTTAACTGAACCTGGTTTAATTGGACCCAGTTTCACCGAATCTGGTTTAATTGGACCCAGTTCAATCAAACCCAATTAATTGAACCTGGTTTAATTGGACCCAGTTTCATTGAATCTGGTTTAATTGGACCCAGTTTAATTGGACCCAGTTTCACTGAATCTGGTTTAATTGGACCCAGTTTAATTGGACACAGCTTAACTGGACCCAGTTTCACTGAATCTGGTTTAATTGGACCTGGTTTAATTGGACCCAGTTTCACTGAATCTGGTTTAATTGGACCCAGTTCAGTCAAACCCAATTAACTGAACCCCATTTAATTGGACCTGGTTTAATTGGACCCAATGAATTGGACCTGGTTTAATCAAAACCAGTTTAATTGAACCCAATTAATTGAACCCAGTTTAACTGAACCCAATTAACTGAACCTGGTTTAATTGACCCCGGTGAATCGAACCCAGTTTAATCAAGCCCAATTTAATCGAATCCAATTAACTGAACCCGGTTTAATCGAACCCAATTAATTGGACCCAGTTTAATTGGACCCAGTTTCACTGAATCTGGTTTAACTGGAGCCGGGTTAATCAAACCCAGTTAATTGAACCCGGTTTAATTGGACCCGTTTTCACTGAACCTGGTTTAATTGGACCCAGTTTAATTGGACCCAGTTTCACTGAATCTGGTTTAACTGGACCCAGTTCAATCAAACCCAATTAATTGAACCCGGTTTAATCGGTCCCGGTTTAACTGAACCTGGTTTAATTGGACCCAGTTTAATTGGACACGGCTTAATTGGACCCAGTTTCACCAAATCTGGATTAGTTGGACCCGGTTTCAGTGAATCTGGTTTAACTGGACCCAGGTTAATCAAACCCAATTAATTGAACCCAGTTTAACTGGACCCAGTTTCACTGAACCTGGTTTAATTGAAGCCAGTTTAATTGGACGCAGTTTCACTGAATCTGGTTTAATTGAACCCAGTTTAATTGGACCCAGTTTCACTGAATCTGGTTTAATTGGACCCAGGTTAATCAAACCCAATTAATTGAATCCGGTTTAATTGAACCCAGTTTCACTGAATCTGGTTTAACTGGACCCAGGTTAATCAAACCCAATTAATTGAACCCAGTTTAATCGGATCCAGTTTCACTGAATCTGGTTTAATTGGACCCAGTTCAATCAAATCCAATTAATTGAACCCAGTTTAATTGGACCCAGTTTCATTGAACCTGGTTTAATTGGACCAAATGAATTGGACCTGGTTTAATCAAAAACAGTTTAACTGAACCCAATTAACTGAACCTGGTTTAATTGGACCCAGTGAATCGAACCCAGTTTAATCAAGCCCAATTTAATCGAATCCAATTAACTGAACCCGGTTTAATCGAACCCAATTAATTGGACCCAGTTTCACTGAATCTGGTTTAACTGGACCTGGGTTAATCAAACCCAATTAATTGAACCCAGTTTAACTGGACCCAGTTTCACTGAACCTGGTTTAATTGGACTTGATTTAATTGGACCCGGTTTCACTGAATCTGGTTTAATTGGACCCAGTTCAATCAAATCGAATTAATTGAACCCAGTTTAATTGGACCCAGTTTCATTGAACCTGGTTTAATTGGACCTGGTTTAATTGGACCTGGTTCAATCAAACCCAATTAATTGAACCCCGTTTAATTGGACCCAGTTTCATTGAACCTGGTTTAATTGGACCAAATGAATTGGACCTGGTTTAATCAAAAACAGTTTAACTGAACCCAATTAACTGAACCTGGTTTAATTGGACCCAGTGAATCGAACCCAGTTTAATCAAGCCCAATTTAATCGAATCCAATTAACTGAACCCGGTTTAATCGAACCCAATTAATTGGACCCAGTTTCACTGAATCTGGTTTAACTGGACCTGGGTTAATCAAACCCAATTAATTGAACCCAGTTTAACTGGACCCAGTTTCACTGAATCTGGTTTAATTGCACCCAGTTTAATTGGACCCAGGTTAATCAAACCCAATTAATTGAATCCGGTTTAATTGAACCCAGTTTCACTGAATCTGGTTTAATTGGACCCAGGTTAATCAAACCCAATTAATTGAACCCAGTTTAATCGGATCCAGTTTCACTGAATCTGGTTTAATTGGACCCAGTTCAATCAAATCCAATTAATTGAACCCAGTTTAATTGGACCCAGTTTCATTGAACCTGGTTTAATTGGACCAAATGAATTGGACCTGGTTTAGTCAAAACCAGTTTAACTGAACCCAATTAACTGAACCTGGTTTAATTGACCCTGGTGAATCGAACCCAGTTTAATCAAGCCCAATTTAATCGAATCCAATTAACTGAACCCGGTTTAATCGAACCCAATTAATTGGACCCAGTTTAACTGGACCCAGTTTCACTGAATCTGGTTTAACTGGAGCCGGGTTAATCAAACCCAGTTAATTGAACCCGGTTTAATTGGACCCGTTTTCACTGAACCTGGTTTAATTGGACCCAGTTTAATTGGACCCAGTTTCACTGAATCTGGTTTAACTGGACCCAGTTCAATCAAACCCAATTAATTGAACCCGGTTTAATCGGTCCCGGTTTAACTGAACCTGGTTTAATTGGACCCAGTTTAATTGGACACGGCTTAATTGGACCCAGTTTCACCAAATCTGGATTAGTTGGACCCGGTTTCAGTGAATCTGGTTTAACTGGACCCAGGTTAATCAAACCCAATTAATTGAACCCAGTTTAACTGGACCCAGTTTCACTGAACCTGGTTTAATTGAAGCCAGTTTAATTGGACGCAGTTTCACTGAATCTGGTTTAATTGAACCCAGTTTAATTGGACCCAGTTTCACTGAATCTGGTTTAATTGGACCCAGGTTAATCAAACCCAATTAATTGAATCCGGTTTAATTGAACCCAGTTTCACTGAATCTGGTTTAACTGGACCCAGGTTAATCAAACCCAATTAATTGAACCCAGTTTAATCGGATCCAGTTTCACTGAATCTGGTTTAATTGGACCCGGTTCAATCAAACCCAATTAATTGAACCCCGTTTAATTGGACCCAGTTTCATTGAACCTGGTTTAATTGGACCCAATGAATTGGACCTGGTTTAGTCAAAACCAGTTTAACTGAACCCAATTAACTGAACCTGGTTTAATTGACCCTGGTGAATCGAACCCAGTTTAATCAAGCCCAATTTAATCGAATCCAATTAACTGAACCCGGTTTAATCGAACCCAATTAATTGGACCCAGTTTAACTGGACCCAGTTTCACTGAACCTGGTTTAATTGGACTTGATTTAATTGGACCCGGTTTCACTGAATCTGGTTTAATTGGACCCAGTTCAATCAAATCGAATTAATTGAACCCAGTTTAATTGGACCCAGTTTCATTGAATGTGGTTTAATTGGACCTGGTTTAATTGGACCTGGTTCAATCAAACCCAATTAATTGAACCCAGTTTAATTGGACCGAATTAATTGAACCCAGTTTAACTGAACCCAATTAACTGAACCTGGTTTAATTGGACCCGGAGAATCGAACCCAGTTTAATCAAGCCCAATTTAATTGAATCCAATTAACCGAACCCGGTTTAATCGAACCCACTTAATTGAACCCAGTTTAATCAAACCTGGGGATTTGAACCCAGTTTAAATCAAACCCAATTAATCGAACCCGGTTTAATTGAGTCCAGTGA